GGGAAACAACTTGTTTCTTTCAGTAGTGTCTGGTTTTCATTGAATGCTTTTCAAAAGAAACAATAGTCATATGGTCAGTGATTGTTTTTACAGAAGGCCTGATTCTGCAGATCTCTCCTCACATGAGTCACTGTTGCTCATGCAGTCGCTGCAGTTAATGCCGGTGGGCTGTGGAGAGAAGAAACACTGAGGCAGCCAACCACATGTTGTGATCTCCAGTGGCCAGATGTTATGCAGACCTGTATGTAATAAAATAAAGAAAGCGGACTGAGCTTGGTGGCTCCGTGAAAGATAGCAGGGCATCTAGGGTCAGACATAGACCCTGCTTCCTAACTAATCACACTTTTTTTTACTTGCATACAAGATAACTTATGGTTAAATTGACCTTTCAGATTTCCCAACATGAACCCTGGTATAGACAAGTGGTTCATATAGATACCTTGTCTAGCCAGTCTGATCTCTCTTTGTGCAGTGCTAATGCATCCATCGCTGCGGTATCTGGGCACCAAGCATGATGTTAAATAATTCATAATCATAAATTACTACCCCTCTAAGCAGGAAAAAATTTTACATGATGAGAGGTTGCAGCGATTAAGATAGCTTAGCCAGAAGAGGCTGATCATGCCTGAGGCATGGGCTGTCAGGATTGAGGGCTAAATCCTGACCTCACTGGAGGGGATACCTTGAATAATCTAAGGAGGGATGGGGGTCTTTTCTGTCTCTAATGTCTTTTGGGAGCTGGAGAGGGCTTGACTGATTGTGTATTTTAGATTATAAAAGCTCCTGATAAAAACGCGTTCGTTCTTCTCTTACTCTGTTGTTCAAGGACCAGTTGCTGAATTGAATGGCAAGTAAATGTATAACAGAGAATATTGCTGCGCGTAGGAAGTAGAATTCCCCACTCCAGGAGGGAGAGGAGATTTTCAAGTGAATAATGTGGAATGATTTCTAAATGGGCTGGATAACTTGACACTATTAAGTCTAGTCCACGCTTCAGTGTGTCCATGGTTATCCAACTCCCTTTGGAAAGACGAACTGAAAATGCACTCGGACGACTGAAATTGTTTGGATAAATGAAACAGCAGCCTCTTGTTAGCATGCGTAATTCCTCATACAATGCATAATATAAAACCGTACTGAATGTAATCCTACAGATATTAAACAGAGTAAAGCTTAAAGAAGAATTTGTTGTGTAACACCAAGTTACAAAGTTGCTCTTTGGATGAGGAGGCGGGACCATTCAGCTTTCTACTGGCAGAACTTCAGTTCTCCTCGCCCAGCTCTGATGTGTCCCCAGACAAAGCTCCTACACGGTGGCAGAACAGAACCCTTCTTTCTGGCAGCAGAATTGCACCACATCTGCTAAGGAGGTTTCTGCCACGTAGCTCCTGCACTCCCCACTTCTTCCCCTGGCTGCCATGGTCCCTTCAGCAGCTGTTGTCCTCTGTGGGTGCACGTCCTTCTTTGGTGGCCCAGCTGCTGAGTGGAGCCATGTGGGGCTGCCAGAAGCATGTGGATGTGCATGTCTTCTAGTGGTGGAGCAAGGGGAGTACGGGCAAGCCCTTAGAAGCTTAGAGAAATCCCACTTTGTGCCTCAGGGCACAAACTAGTTGCTTTGAGGCCCGGTAAGCAGTCCTCCTGTGTACAGCACAGTACCATTTAAGAGGTATGCTACCTGAGAGAGGGGTGTTTGTCTTCCTCCACATCATCAGGTAATGGCCACTGCCACAGGTGGATACCTGACAAGGTGGACCTATGGTCTAATGAGCTTTGACACAACTTGCATTCCTGTGAAGTCCTGAAAATATATCAAAGGGCTCTCTGTGGAAAATGGGAGAGAAAATCAAGGTTCTGTGAACCAGACACATTCAGCACAGCTTGTTCCCTGCACTTGCATGAAACTGTGGGCCTCTGGCTTTCATCTGCTGGATCAATGCACTAGTTTCTCACAGTGCAGTAGGTACACAGAAAAGCTAAATTCACTGTAGCGTCTTGCCTAAATTATTGGCTTCTCCATCTGCTTCAAGAACTCTGGCCTGGGCTCCCTCAGTCACTGGACTGAGCATGCATTTCACATGTAGTATGCATAACCCCCTGTTGTGGTGTTAAAATAATCGTTGATACATCTGTTTGCTTTGGGAGCATTTTGTAAAGTGATGTCACTGACAGCAGTCTATTAAATTCATGGCAGTTCCATTTTAAAATCCTGTTTCTCCAGCATTTATCACTAAGTTTCAAAGATTTGGCTTGGAAGACCATGTATATATTTTGGCATAGGAAAGCTCAATTTATCCCTAATGACAAGAAGGATCATCTTATGGGAAAGCACTAAATCAGGGCTCAAGAGATGTGGGTTCAGTGACAAGCTTTGTTACAGGTTCCCTGTGTGACTGGACTGACCATTAAATCCCTCATTGCCTCAATTTTCCATCTGTAAAACAGGCATAATAATCTTCCTCTTCTCCCATCCTTCGTTGGGTTTGAACCCTTTGGGACAGAAGTCAACTCTCACCACGTGTCCATTCATTGCCCAAAACATTAGGACTCAGAGCATGTTTAGGGACTCGGAGCCCTTTCTTTTCTTTTCAGGGCCCTTTGCAAGGCTCATCTGTTCTCTCCAACTCCTTGCAAAAGGATGGGTTGAAGAGTAATGTGATAAGCTGACAAGGGAAGTTGGTTAGAGAGAAGGGACTGGCTTAAATAGGCTGCTTACACCCTGACAGCTGGGACTGGGTGTGTGAAGGACAGGCAATTAGAGCTTGTCCTTCAGTTTGGTGCAGTTCAAAGATGACACAGGTACATGTAACCTTGGAAAAAAGGGCTTTTGACTACTGATCTACACTAATAATGTCATTACTCTCTTACAAGTCTTTACAGCCATGTAGGGCTAGACTGGGAAAAATACCCATGGCTTTCAGGGAAAAATGGGAGGGGAGGGCATTAGGCCTTAGGACTACAGGAGGAGGCTGGGAGTCAGCTTGTTTCTCACCAGTGTTACCAGTTCCCCAGCTGGCCTATGACAGTGGTGCTCAACCTTTTTTTCCCCAGTGGGCTGGATGCTAAGTGCCTGGTCTGACTACGGCTAGATGGTGGTTTCGATCCAGTGCCCACGGCCAGTGCAGCAGCCACCGTCCAGCTGTATGGAGGGGGGTGAGGAAGAGACTGGCCTGAGCCCAGCCCCGTTGTGGGGTGGGGGGCTTTACCCAGCTCTGAGAGGTGGGGGGGGGGAAGGGACTTGACCTGGCCCCCCAGGGGCATGGCCTGGCATCAGCCCAGCCCTGCAAGGAAAAATGGGGCAGTCTCAAGGGGGACGGGGAAGGAAGGGGCATGGCCCTGCAAGGAAAAATGGGGCAGTCTCAAGGGGGACGGGGAAGGAAGGGGCATGGCCCTGCAAGGAAAAATGGGGCAGTCTCAAGGGGGACGGGGAAGGAAGGGGCATGGCCCTGCAAGGAAAAATGGGGCAGTCTCAAGGGGGACGGGGAAGGAAGGGGCATGGCCCTGCAAGGAAAAATGGGGCAGTCTCAAGGGGGAAAGGGGTGCAGCCTGGCTCTAACTGGGCACCACGGGGCTTGGGGTTTGGGAATTTGGCAGGTGGGAGGGTGGCCATATTAATGGCCACTGCTTCCCTGCTGCCAAATTTTTGGACCTGTGGGGAGTCCTGCAGGCCAGGTGCAGTGGCTCCACAGGCTGTATTTGCCTGTGGGCTGGAGGTTGAGCACCCCAGGCCTATGATAAGTCATTTATGTCTTGTTATTCTATTCCAAGGAAGTTTCTTCTATCAAGTTCAGGCAGGCTTTCTGCCTTAGTTTCCTCTTCCATAAAACTGAAGATGATATTTCTCTTCCCTTTTGAGAGGGAGGAGTTTTGAGGCTTTATTTATTGATGATTGTGAAGTGCTGTAAGATCCCCTGATGAAAGGGGCTCTGTAAATGCAAAGAATTTATTGTAATGTTGTTGTTGAGTCACACCACCAGGAGTTGCTGGGCTTTCTGAATTCTGTAGTCTAGCAGATCTTAGCCATCGGTCTCCTTCTCTAACAAAACAGCGCGCAATTTGCCCTTTTTTTATAACATCAAGTACGCTTCTTGTAATATCTGCTTTGGAAGACTATTGTAACTTTTGGGTGTCATTGTGTGATGGGAAATGAAGGGGATTGTGAAATTTCTGGAGTGACTGAGATCAGGTTGTGGGCAGGATGTGAAAGATCAGTGCTTTGTAGCCCTGGCTCTACACTTAACCTTGAAGCATCTCTCTGAGGCGCAGAGAGGAAACGATTGGGGATGTCTGGGCTCATCAGGCTCCACAGCAGCTATACTTAGCCTGGAGAGAGGTCAGAGGCACAGCAGCGAGCTGATGGCTGGAAGATTAATTAGGTGCTTTGTTGGGTTTGGAAACAATCCCAAACCCAAACCGGCCTTATTGGAGCTTTTAGCACTTGGTGCTATTGCCAGGTGTCTGAACAAAAAGTGCTGGGAAGATTGTGAATCTACTCCTGTGCACAGCCTGGCAGAGCACCTCAAGATCTGCTGCTGTTAGAGTGGGAGAGGAAAACACTTAGCTTCTCACAGGATCATTCCTAGTGTATGAACGTGCACACTCCCACTGTTTTCCATAGGCCTAGATTTTGCCCGGAGAATCCAGATTTTACTTTGCCCCATTGAAAAGCAAACCTTGTCTCATGATTTTTCATGTTGCCCAGGTGCTTCCACTCTGAACTGAGCTGGAATGGGTTAGATGCATGCAACTCTGCTTTGAGTAGGGGCTCAGGCTAGATGACTTCATCAGGTCCTTTTCCAGCCCTGTTTTTCTATGATTCTCTCCTTTTTCATTGTGGGATCATTCGGATAGGGTTCCAAATGAATAGTGCTCTTTGCACTCAGTTGTGCGCCGTTTCTCTAATATAGGCCCAGCCCTAGTTGCTTCAGAGGGGGTCTTCATTCAGCTGAGATATAACCATACATTTATGATCTTCTTGGTTTTTCTTTTTTTATTGGTGGCAGGTCCAGGCAGAAGGGACAGATGGAAACTGTGTCACATTTGTGTTGCATGATGAGGACCACACACTTGGCAACTCCCTCCGTTACATGATCATGAAGAAGTAAGTGGAGTCCTTAAAACTAGTACAACGTCAGGGCAAAGTGCCCTGTATCCCCTGTAACTAGCTTCTAATACCCGACATCATTGAGCCTCTTTGTCACTGGATGAATACTACAAAACTGTGTCCACACATATTGATTAGGTCCTTTAAATAAGTGCATTTGACTGTCTTGTGTCTCCTTTGGAATGAGTGCCTACAGGAAGGGTAATAGGAAAAGTGTTCGAGTGTTAGAGAAGCTAATTTTGCACTTGCAAATGCCAGTTTTGCACTGGGAGCCAGATTCTTATGCTTCATCAGTCAAAGAACAGGAAAAGGCTTATCTGGGTCAGACAATTACTATTTGTGAGGAGCTCCCAGTTAAAGAGTTATACCTCTAAAATTGTTAGAGGAGAATTTTATTTTGTGGATAATTTCAAATGACAACATGCAATAGTCATCTGAGCTGCTCACAGACAAATTGCCTTCAACAAAATAACAATAAGCTATTCACTAGGAATTACATTCTGTACTCTGTACAGTGTTCTCTGAATGCAGACTCTGGGGCAGGAGGACCGATATCAGTTGGACCTACAGCACAAAAAAGGGAGATGTCTTGACCAAGAGAGCAAAGCAAATCCTTAAAGTGGCCAATGGCCCTCAGGATGCAAGGGATTCAGCTGCAGGAAATAGCTGAGGAGTTCAGATCCCTGACTGCTATTCCCCAACTTTCAACCATTCTTTACATGTCCTAAGGCTAGGGTGACAACTTGAATGGTCCCAGGCTCTTGCTGTATGCCCCAGTCAGACCATAAATTTCATTCACATGGTGACTTCAGCAGGGGTG